CCTTATCCACCTGGCCATGCCGGGCCGTACTATGAAGCAACCTGTTTTTATATTATAAAAATAATCTGTTTTTAGCAAAAACAAGCAATGGTATTACAGATAAATACTTAGTGTTTTAATATTTAATTTCTATACAACTTGTTAAAGAAGAAATTAAGTTTCTGGAAAATGATGCAGTTTATAAAGGAAGAATTTTAAAAAAGTAAAATTTATCAAAAAGTCACATTATTATCTATTGAAAGAAATGAGTGTTAATAATAAGTAATAACCGTGCTATATGAGAAAAATAAATTGAAAAAGAATATCTATAATCAGGAATCTACTAACAGCAATTTTAAAGTGCTTAAACAGTTGAAGTACAGAGGGTCATATACGCTATATTATAACGATTTTGAATATAAAAATAAGCAAGTCACCTGACGTGACAACCACAGCCTAGATAAAGTCACGGTGGGATGGAATGTATCAGAATCACATTTTGACATTTTTGGGAGTTACGTAGGAAAGCTTTTAAGTAATAGCCCTTTCCGAAGCAAAATATTCCTACACTTAGATTATACTTTTGTGTTCAGATCGGAAATCTAGAATCTCCAAGACGGACATATTCCTTGTACTTAATGGCATTGGAAAACAAAGGAATATGGGTCAGCTTGGTGCACCAAGACCAGCCAGATAGAGACTTGCAAAAAAAGTCGTACCCAGCTGTAGTTAGATTGTAACTAATGAAAATCCACGAACACAAAAATCAATGGCAAAAGCAGCTGTATATAACACAATCAAGAAGGATCTCTGTCTGATTAAGGACCCGTGTACACAAGTTTCTTCCACGATATATTAGTTCATTCTTCGTTACCTCAATTAGCTGTAAAATGAAACGAGCATTCATGTTATTATCTGCGAAAACATAACGGTCATCTTTAGAAATAAGCTGGATTCTGGAAAGTCATCAGAGAGGAGAGGTTTGCTTTGAACAGAGTCTGACAAGGTGACGTGAGCTATAACGACGCGGTGAGGCTCCAAAATAACATATTCAACCTCTTGTATATGTTTAAAACGTTCGTACCGTTTGTTTCTTAAAAGGTTTGTTTAAAAAAAAACAACTAAGAAGAATTAAATTGTGTTTATTTCTATAATCAGTTATTTCCCTAGTCTGGTTTATACATGACTCACACGTTTCTCATATTTTAAGGAATCGTGCTAAGAACAAAAAGTCGTCGAATAATTCAATATAAAGATCCTATCAAATATTTTCTATTAGTTGAAAATTATTCGTTTTAAATTAACAACGTGTTTGATGACATACACAAATAACATAATATTTTCAGTTTCCTTGGCGTGCCATCTGGGTAAGCAGTTTAAATTCTAAATATAAATAAAGTTTTATAATTTTTGTTCCGAATCGTTAATCGGAAAAACAAGATAATGACATCACTATATTTATGACATGCCGTTCCTGGATTTGCCCTGATTATTATACAAATGACGATTATAAGATAATTAAAAGTACAGGTTTAAGTACAGGTTTTGTAGTTTAATCTTGGAAAGGTTTTGAACAGATATGTTTTGAAAAGATCTTGATGATTCTTGACATTATCTTTTTTTTTCTTGATAAGCACATTGATAAATTCCAGAGTAAATAAATTTAGTAGATGAAGAAAAAATTCAAAACATACATATGGTTGTAAACTAGTCAAACTAGAAATGTTTGCAACTCAGAGCTACGTATCCCTGTTGAGATAGCTAATCGTAAAACCTTTCAACAGTTTGAATTTATGTGACGACTTATAAGATTTAGTCTTCATTATACTAAGTTTATTAAAACGAAAAATACTAAACTTCCTAAAATATTTTACTTGAAAAAAAAAAAAAACGAGAACAAGAACACATACACGGAAATTAAACTTCAAATCACTATACACAGACTAATAAGAAAGAAAACTGCATGGAATGAAATACAAAAATGAACGTAATTCAAAAAGGAATAAGCTCAATAAGCTCCACAGTAACACAAAAAAACGAAAAACATAAGATAAAAAATGGTTTCTAGGTTTCGATTATCAGCCTTCGTTACTTCAGTTAAATTCGTCTTATCAACAGTTGACAAAATGTTGAAAGAATGAATACTATTATTAAAAGATCTTCCGCAAACTAGTCTGCTATTCAGGGAAGGTTTTGGAATTGTAATTTGGACGAGTCTCCATTTGATTTAAAGTGACATCTTAATCGTTTAAATGTGGAAAATGGACCAGAACAACAATAACACCTTTAACGTGATGATTTTCCCATCCAATAACAAAATTGTTAAACTCGATTTAACCTACTTTCTGTAATTCTTGTTCGCTAGGTGAGATTTTAGTATAAAATAAAGCTCATTTTCCTCATAACAAAAAAACGACAAAAACTAAAGTTAAGACTGAAACGTCACGTGTCATATGGAAAACGTATTTTACAGAAAGACCAAAAAAAGGTAGGTTTATCAACGTAATAAAAATCGCCAAGAACTTTAGCTAACAGTTTACCTTTGTCCTCCCAGTGGGTCTGTGGTAAATTTACAGACATACAACGCTAAAATCCAAGGTTCGATTACCTCAGGTGGACAAAAACAACACTAAGCCTTTATTTAGTGTATGATAACTGTATGAAACTGCTCAAACATTGTGTTGTAAATTTGTATCTCAACAAAGAGCACTTATATATATAACTTTATTTCACAAGCAGCATATTCTATTCTAAATTGTTAGAAATTAATTTCACTTTCGTTCACATTTCAAACATGACGCAACTTAAAGAATAAAAATGACGATTTACTATATGTTATTGTTGAGCGACTCTTAACATGACCGAAGTGCTCAACAATTACTTTTCGCGGTGGGCAGTATAAATAGCTCAGAGCTTTGTCTTTGAGTGAAACCAAGAGCACAACACAATTAATCTTTTTAAAGTCCATGAAATAATTTCTATTGATAGTTTAACTTAAACTTTTCCCGTCACTGGGGACGGGTACTTTTGATTGAAATTATATAATGTTCAATGAGTTGTAGAATAAGCTACTAAAATCAGGAGTAGATAAATAAAGAATAGTCTTTAAGAAATAAAATGTATACAATGTTGGAAAAAACTGTATTCTCATAGTAGATTTTAAAATATTATGATAATATACAGAGTGTAGTTTAAACTGTTCATTGATATCAATGAA